CAAACCCCGGCTCTCACCACACGGTTCCACACGGCTCCCCACTTGCTCTGCACGTCGGGCGTGAGGCGGATGTACTGCGCCATCACCATGGCGTTGCCCTGCAGCTCCCACAGCCCCGCGCTGGCCGACCCCACTCCTGTCGGGCCCACACCACCGGTCGGTACCGGGCCTCGAGGCACCGACCCCGGCCTGCCCTCCACCCCCGCTCCCCCCCTCACCCTGGTACGGTTTGGACAGCGAATGCTCCCGTTTCAGATGCTCCTCCATCTGTTCGGCCCGCGGTCCGCCCAGCCCCAGCGCCACAGCCAGCAGCGCCAGCCCGGCCCGCCACCGGCCCGTCGCCATCTTGCCTCCTCCTCCTGCCAGCCCCGCGCGTCCATTGGTCAGTTCTCTCGGCCCGCCTCCCAGCCCCGCGCGCCCATTGGTCAACCGTCTCAGTCCTCCTCCCAGCCCCGCGCGTTCATCGGTCAGTCCTCTCGGCCCGCCCCCCAGCTCCTCGCGCCCATTGGTCAGCCCGCTCCGCCCGCCGCGCGATGCTGACGGGTGGTTGGCTGTACGGTGTGGCTGTCAGGTGGGTGGCGGGGATAACGCGCGCAGGGGATGATGGGGGGGTTGAATTAAAGGACACTTCCGGGATAGAGGTGCGACTGGTCCCAGCGCGAGCCTGGAGCTTCGTGAGCGTCCCAGTTTTCCCAGCGTTCTGGGTCCTGCCTGCGGGTCCTAAGGAGCCTTTTGAATCCCGTCCATGGGTCCTAGTGGCCTCAGGAGTCCAACCGCAGAGGGTTATCTACACCCCTCAAGGTCTTACCCATAGGTTCTACTGCCCCCAAAGGGGGCAGGTCATAGGGCCCGCCTCCAAGGTCCTGTCCCCGCCCTCGATCCTGCCCCATAGGGCTTAGTATTTGCCCCATAAGGTTTAGTACCTTCCCCTTCTCTAAGAGGGACAAGTATTATAGATCCTAGAGATCCCACCACCGCGTTTTGCCCCCCAAACTTGGTTCGTATTGCAAGCCCTAGTGCCCTCTATCTCTATATCCCGCCCTCCATTCGAGCCTTATCCCCCACACCCAAAGCCCTGCCCCACAGACCCCACCCGGACACCCGATCCCCCTCCCTTCCACCTCTATCTCCTTCCGTGTGCCACAGCCACAGCCACAGCCACAGCCACAGCCACAGCCACAGCCACAGCCACAGCCACAGCCACAGCCACAGCCACAGCGCACCACCTCCTGCGGGCCCCACCAAACTCCCCTCCCCCTTTAAGCCTCGCCATGCCCCTTTTAATTCCGACCCGCCCTCGTAATGGGCGTGGCCAAAACCGGAAGAGGGGGCGTGGCCTCTCCCGGCGGGAAGGGGGCGTGGCCTGGCGGCGGGCTGACGCCACGGGCGCGCGGCGGCCGCGAGCCACCAACATGGCGGCGGGCGGCGGGCGGCGGCGCGGCGGCAGCCGGGGCTTTGGGGCAACCCGCAGCTCGGCAGCGTCGCCGCCTCCGCTCCTCCCTCCCCTCCTCCTCCTCCTCGCCCTTCCCGGAGGCACCGCGGTGGGCGGCGGCGGCGACGGGGAAAGCGTGATCCTGGGCATGAGGTTGGAGGAGAGCACCAAGCCGGCGGCTCCTTCGCGAGGCCCGATCCGCGTAACGGAGGGCAGCGAGCTGCTGCTTCGCCTTTACGGCTTGGGGCTGGGACCGGGCACCGGGCAACGCGTGGCTTTCGCTGAGCTCCGCCCGGCCGGCAACGCCTCGACGCCCAACGGGACGTGCCCGGAGCGCTCGCAGGACCTGGTGGTGCAAGGCCTGGTGGGTTCCGAGGCTGCTGGAGGCTCTCAGGACACCTCGGCTCTGCTCCGAGTCCGGGTGCAGCCCCTGCGTAAGGACGAGCAGGCCAAGACTTACGTGCTGTGCACGCAGAGAAAGCCCGGCTTGCCTTGGTTGCCTCACCAAGGAGCCGACGGCCACATCGTGGTGGTGGAGGAGAAGAAATCCCTGCTGCCCCTTTGGCTGCAGGTGATCCTCATCGTGGGGCTGTTGGTGCTGTCGGGGATTTTCAGCGGGCTCAACCTTGGTTTGATGGCTCTGGATCCCATGGAGCTGCGCATCGTGCAGAACTGCGGCACCGAGAAGGAGAAACGTTATGCCAAAAAGATCGAACCCATCCGGAGGAAAGGGAATTACCTGCTGTGCTCGCTGCTGCTGGGCAACGTGCTGGTCAACACCACGCTCACCATCCTCCTGGATGACCTCATCGGTTCGGGCATCGGCGCCGTAGTGGCTTCCACTGTTGGGATTGTCATCTTTGGGGAGATCGTCCCCCAGGCGCTGTGCTCGCGGCACGGTTTGGCCGTGGGTGCCAACACCATTGTGCTCACCAAATTCTTCATGCTGGTGACGTTTCCTCTCTCCTACCCCATCAGCAAGCTGCTGGATTTCATCCTGGGCCAGGAGATCGGCACCGTGTACAACCGGGAGAAGCTGGTGGAGATGCTGAAGGTGACGGAGCCTTATAATGATTTGGTGAGGGAGGAGCTCAATATGATCCAAGGGGCCCTGGAGCTGCGCACCAAAACGGTGGAGGACGTGATGACCCCACTGCATAACTGCTTCATGATCAGCAGCGACGCCATCCTGGACTTCAACACCATGTCTGAGATCATGGAGAGCGGCTTCACCCGCATCCCTGTCTACGAGGAGGAGCGTTCCAACATCATGGACATCCTCTATGTGAAAGACCTGGCCTTCGTCGACCCCGACGACTGCACGCCCCTCAAAACCATCACCAAGTTCTACAACCACCCCGTGCACGTTGTTTTCCACGACACCAAGCTGGACGCCATGCTGGAGGAGTTCAAGAAGGGTGAGAGGAGTGGGGGGACGCTGCTGGGCTGCTCCTTGGGGTGCTGCTTTTCCTTATGGCTCCGGCAGTGCGAGGCCAGAAGCAAAACTTGGGCTCTCTGGCAGCTCTCCAGGGCTGCACGGCTGGTGTGGGGTTTTGTGGGGCTCACGGGGACGGGGAGGATGCAGAGTCCATGCTGAAGATGGGGTGTCTGTTTCAGTGCCTATCTCTCTGTAGGATCTGTGGCAGCGTTGAGGTGGCAGAGCTGTCCCTGCAGAGCACCCTCAGCTCGGCGCTCGCCTCTGGAAACACTGGGAGAGTGTTTACGTGCTCTTCAGTTTTAATTACTGGCCCTGGAGGCCTTTATAATGCTGTTGGGGAGTTGCATGGCTCCTTGCTTGCTTTGGCTCCCTCCTCCAAACCCTTCCTCGCTTTCCTGGCCTCCCACTGGCCCCTAAAGCCCTTGGGAGGGGCAGAGGGGCCGTGCACCAGCCTGGGACCCCACTGTGCCTGGCGACCCCACTGCTTCCCCAGCTGCCATTAAGCTCATGGCTGCATCCTGCAGGCAATGGGGACATTTAGGGGTGCGGGGCGGTTGCCTGCGCTTCGTGCTGGGATTTAGGGGATCTGGCAATTCCTCCTGCAACCAGAGCTCTGCTGCAGCTTGGGACAGGATTTAGCAGATCCAAGCCAGGCTGATCCTTCAGGGTTAGAGTCTGGAGGCTGCGCGCTTGGTTGTTCCTGCCTTCTTTCTGCACCCACGCTCTCCCTGCACCCCAAGATATTGTCACGCTTAATGGCAACTCAGCTCCCCCCTTCCCAAAGCCCAACAGAACGGGAGCAGGGCTGCGTTCTGCCTCCCCGTTGCTGGAGCTGGAGCTGGCCCAGCTGCTGGCGCTGGATTTCCCTCCTACGAATCCTTATTAAAGGATTTGAAGTGCAATCGCTCTGATTACAAAGCCTCGACAGCCCTCACTGCTGTTTGCTGCTGGGTCAGAAATGGGGAGCTGGCAGCCCCGCTGCCTGGGCTGGGTTTGGGATCTGGGTCAGCCCTCAAGTCCTCTCTTCAGGGTTGGAAGTGTTGGAAATTCGCTGAGCAAAAGGATGGAGAGGTGAGAGCAATCGGCCGTGCTCCCGATTGCCCCGACTGCGGGAATGGTGCCATGGATGTGGCACAAAAGCTGGCATGGGGGTGACAGATCCTGCGGCAGCACTCAGTGTTTGTCCCCATCTTCCTGCTCCTCTCGGTGTGAGCACAACACGAGGCTCAGGGCAGGGGTGGGATGCTTCACCCCTTGGGCTTCATTAGGCGTGGGGTGCTCCCCTTCTGTCCCCTCTCCCAAAACCCTGCGTTGCAGAAGGGGAAGATCAAGGTTTCACCTGCATTCAGCACTGAGCTTTTGGGGTGCAGCTTTTGGGATGCATGGGGACCGTGGTGGCCTCTCTGCCCTTTGCTTTCATTCCCTCTGCACCCATGGGGAGGAATCGCGTCCTGACTCAGGAGGGCTGGTCCTGTGTGGGTGCAGGTGACACGAGCCAGGTCCTTGCAAGTCACATCCCCTTGGCTGTGTCCTTCTGGCTAAGCCCTTCCCTCACAACCGCAGTGAGGTGTCCCCAGTCCTGCGGGTGCCTCTGCCCTTAATTGCTGTCATTAAACAGGGAAGGAGCGCCCAGCCCAGGGCTCATTTGGATCATAATGTCCTTATTGTCCCTGCGCAGGGAGTGTGGTAGGGTTGAGCACATGCTGTGAGTTGACTGGAGCGTGTCTGTCTGACGTCCGCCTGTCTGTCCGCAGGGAAGTCGCACCTGGCCATCGTGCAGAAGGTGAACAACGAGGGTGAGGGGGATCCCTTCTACGAGGTGCTGGGGCTGGTGACGCTGGAGGACGTCATCGAGGAGATCATCAAGTCGGAAATCCTGGACGAGTCGGATGCTTTTGGTAGGTGTGGGGCTCAGCCCCGTGTCCCCGCAGCGTGCAGGGGAGCTGGGTGCCACCTGCTGCCCTGTCACCCCGATAGCAGCCGATGAAAACCGCAGCAAGAAGCGGACGGGCAACCAGAAGGGCAAGAGGGACTTCTCAGCCTTCAAGGACCCCGTCAACGAGCAGAAGGTGAAGGTCTCCCCGCAGCTGCTGCTGGCTGCTCACCGCTTCCTCTCCACGGGTGAGTTGTTGGGAGTGCTCTGTGTGGCTCCATCCGTCCACGTCAGCTCTGTGCTGCTGCTGCTCCTGGAGTCACGAGGGTTCTGTTCCCTTCTCCTTGCTCTATAGCTGAGAAAACATAGAGGTTTTGCATTTTTGCTTGCACTGCTGTTATCCTGCTTGCTGCTGGTCTGTCAGGGGAGCCCTGCCTGGCCCTGTGTCCCTGCAGGAGGGGGATGTTGGTGCAGTGGCCTCGTCCTGCTAGGAGGATCCCTAGGATGGGGACACAAAAGCACCATGGCCACTGCATTCCAGGAGCCAGAGATTGGGTGGGACACCTGGAAGCGAGGGGCTGTGACCGTGACACCCTACTCTCTTCCCCTCTGTCCCTGAAAATGAGGCTATTTGCCCAGCAGGAAGGTCCTGTCCACATGCTGGCACATATCACCCTGCAGCCAGGGCTGGGGACCTGAGTGCTCTCCCTATGGGGCTGCTGGAGTTGCCAGACCCAGGGGTTTCTGTCCCAGGGAGGTGCTGTGGAGCCCAGCCTGATCCAGAGCCTACCCAAGGGGCAGGCTGTGCACCTGCATCCCTCAGCACCTCCATCTGCAGGGATGGGAGCAGGGACAGCCCGCAGCTCTGACCCCATCCTGTCTCACTCTCAGAGGTGACGCTCTTCACACCCAACTTCATCTCTGAGAAGATCCTGCTGAGGCTGCTCAAGTATTCCGACGTCATCCAGGAGCTGAAGTTTGATGAGGAGAACAAAAAGTCCCCACACCACTTCCTCTACACCAAGAACAAGGCTGCCGACTACTTCATCCTCATCCTGCAGGTACCACGGGCTGGCAGTGTCCCTTAGGTTCCATCAGTGTGATACCCAGGGTGCTGCCCATCACCAAAGCCCTGTGCAAGCTCCTTCCACCCATCCTGGTGCCACAGGACGTGGCATTATGGAGCCTGACACTGCCTCTCCCTTGCAGGGCAAGGTGGAGGTGGAGGCTGGGAAGGAGTGCATGAAGTTTGAAGCAGGAGCCTTCTCCTACTACGGGGTGATGGCCATCAGTCCACCTCCTGTATCGGGTGAGCATCCCAGGGTTCCCCAGCACATCTCCAGTCCCACCACGGCTCCATCCTGCCCTCTGCCATCGGCAGAGCAGCAGTTGTCCTCTGCATGTGTCGTGTTGTTTCTCTCTGCCCACCAATCCTCAGCCCACAGAACGCTGTTTGCCAGGCTGAGTTAACAGCATTTGGGTGTCCTCAGCACCCTGGGCCATGTTAACACGGCGCTGGTTGTCATTCCCCCAGGGCTGCATGGGGGATCTGGCAGATCCCGGTGTTCCTAGAAGAGGAAAAACGTCTCCTGCAGGAGGAAATGCAGTTCCTCAGCCTCTGGGCTTTGGGGAGCAGCGCTGAGCTCCTGCTCCTCCTCCTGGTGTCACGAGGGTCCTGTGCTCTGTCACCCACCCCATTTACTCCCACCTGTGGCTACAGAGGTGGAGCAGGGGAACCCCCCTGCACTGGGACCGTATCCAGGTGGCGAGGAGACGCCACCCTCCCTGTGCTTCATACGGTTCATCCATCACCCTTGCCTTTCTGAGCACGCGCCGTCCCCATCATCCCGCTTTCCAATCCAGCGGGACAGGGAGCAGCAAAGGGACCGAATAACCTCTGAGGTGGTTCTGAGCCTGTCCCCATCCCACAGAGACCCGCTCCCCATCCCACGTCAGCGGCCTCAACCGCTCGGCCTCGCTCAGCTGCCACGAACGCTCCGACTCCGTTTCATCCCCGGTTGGTGGCAGCAACAACCAGCTCAGCGCCGTCACCCCGTACGTGGCCGACTTCAGCGTCCGCGCTCTCACCGACCTGCAGTTCGTTAAGGTGAGGCCGTGTGAGGCTTGTGGGGGCAGGGGGGGGACGTCTGCCATGCCGTGACCCCCACCTCACTGTGGCTTTGCTTTGGCACAGATCACGCGGCAGGAATACCAGAACGGTCTCACCACATCCCGCATGGACAGTTGTCCCCAATCTCCTGACAGCGGCGCTCCTAAAACCGATCTGCAGGAGAAAACGGAACCGGCAGATGAAACCACCAGCCTGCTGAACGAGAGGAACTGCCTGGGCCGCCGCAGCACCCACGGCCCCATCGAGAACTCCATCTGAGCCGCCCGCGGGCCGGGGATGTGCTGGGAACCGCACACGGTTCCGATGGGAGCGGCGGAGGAGGGACAGCCCGGCCCGGTGCTGCTGCTGCTCGGGGACGGCGGGCCGCAGAGGCGGAGGGCCCCCCGTTGTGGCTGAAGCCTCCGCTCGGTGCAGCTCAGGGAGTTCAGGTCCCGCAGGCCGGGCCTCCTCCTGCCAAAACCAGGCCCAGGCCCACCGCCGCCATCTTCCCTTTCTTCTCCCCTCCCACCCCCCCCCCTGAGCCCCGCCATGAATGATGGAAGCGATGCAGAGGAGGGGGTGATGATGTGACTCAGGGA